ATTATGTCTTATAATTGTTTTTTTAACTTTTAAAAAGAAAATGGAGAATATAAAGGATGTCAAAAGGATATGGGAATGAAGATATTTTCCAAATAGAAAAAAATGAGAAAGCCTAAGCAAGTGATGAAGGTCTGTGTAGGTTTTTTATGATATAAAGGATTAGACAAAAATAGTATACACATAATTTTAAAATTTCTAAGGTCAGAGTTTAGCCAACTAGTTAAAGGAACAAAATATATATCTAGTTGAGGTTTATCTGAGAATATCTGTTTTTTCACCCAAGCTTTATCTACATAGGACATGGTAATTAAAAGTACCAGACTGGTGGAACTAACCTTATTGGATATTTAACAGCCATACTTTGATGCCTATACTAATGTGGTCAGAGGGACTTAAAGGACAGTTTTTGCCCCTTGCCCTCTAAGGTTGACTAAGTTCCAGAGGACTATGGAACATCTCTCAAAGTGTCCTGTGACTGTGGTGAGTCACCTGTCTTCTTGTTCAGGGAGGCCATGGAGACCCCATGAGATGGACTTAAACCAGTGTCCAGCCTACAAAGAGGAGGGTCAACTCAGAGGAAACAGCTCAGCCACACTTCCAAGTGAAGCCAGACATGGTCAAGTGGACCTTTGACTTATCTTCATATAAATGGAACTGGTAAAAAAAAAAAGAAAAAAAAAAAAAAAAAAAAAAAAAAAAAGGAGCCAGGGCTCCTCCAAGCCCATGTGACCCCTGAGGAACAGATCCTCGAGTGACCTTAAGTATAAAAATAGATTGATTTATTTGGGCCACCTGTATGGTCTTAAACACCCAAAAGGAAAGTATAACCAAAGAGTAAAGTCATTCATATATTTCTTTAAGAGTTCAAGGGATTACATTCCCAGACATTAGGCTTAAGTCCATATAAAAAATTATTTAGATAATTATTTCTCATTGATGATTTTGTTCCTAATCAGAAAGTGCTGCAATACTGTAGTGCCCACCTGTAACTAAGGGCGACAACCCAGTATTCTAAAATGATGGATAAATTTGTTTTCTCCCCTATCTAGAAGCCTTCGAGAGGGAACTGACACTGATTCTAACCATTCCAACAGCCATAAAAATACCTGAAAGCAAATCCTGAATCCATCACTCTAGAGTCCAGCCTTGGAAGACAAAAGAAAAATGAGAAAGAACCTGGTAGAGGGATGCTTTTGGAAGCCCTTGTCAAGAAATTCCAATGGACTCACTCTCATATGAACATTTGAAAACTGCCCTGTTCTAACTTTTTTCTTGTTCCCTGTCTAGAACTTGTAATGCTAATTACTCTTGCCTTTACTTCTCCTTCATATCTCCCATTCATGATTCAAGGACTTTCTTCTGAACTTGTAATGTTAATTACTCTTGCCTTTACTTCTCCTTCATATCTCCTAGTCAGGATCCAAGGACTTTCTTTTCCCCCTAGAGATAAGAGTTATGCAATTTGGGAGTCTTAGATAGACCCACTGAAAGGGGTACTCCAATTGCCTCACCCTGCATCCCTGTTCAGCATGGAAGAAGCCAGAGCGGTCTGCATCCTGATTCCCTATCCACAAGTTGGGTAACCTCTTCAGTGGATGATAAGAATAGGAGGTAAGAATTGGCTAGGCAGTTAGGGAAAAAACACCCCCCAAAAAGTAGCCAGTTTCTTGGCTAAAACTCACAATGTCCTTGGGCCTCTTAGCAACATACCCCGTTCCACAGGACAAAAATGTCTAAAGTATTTGGGAGCTTTTATCTAATCCTTAAAAGATTTTAGGGTTACTTCTTCAGAGGGGGGAATGTTAGAGTAGCCAAAAGCCCCATAAAAAATAAATAAAAGAAGGAAGAGTACATTTAAAAAAAGAAACAGAGGATCTTATCAGAAAAGAAGTAGTCTCAAGATATGTGAACCAATATTTTAGGACCAACTTGTTTTTTTCCAGCAGAATCTTTACAAACTTGTAGGTAGGACTACAAGTCCTAGATCTGACTTGCTATTATCTTTCAGAGTGATTGTGAAATGAATTAATACATGTAAATAATTCAATGTAGAGCTTGTTCCATAATATATGTTAAAAGATCTGCTTTTGCTAAGGAACAAAAAAGAATCTAAGAAGTCAATAGATGAAGTGGATGAAACTTTTAAGACAGTACTGATGTTAAATGTTTCAAACCTGTAAGTGTTCAACTTTTGAATATCTCTACTATAGATAAAGTTTGAGTATGCACCACAAAAAATAAAATTAAATAGATTTTTTTAAAAAGAGAGAAAGCAATTTGAGCACCAGTGTCTCTCCCCTCTCCTCTCTCCTCCCTCCTTCCCCACTGTGTTTACTATGTGACTAGCCACCTCATGCTCCTGCTGTAGGGATTTTCCTGTCTTCATGGACTGTACTCTTGAACTCTGAACCAAAATAAACCCTTCTTTCTTTAAGTTGATTTTATCAAGATATTTTGTCACAGCAACAAGAAAAATAACATAGATCATAAAGAGTTTGTATTTTTTGTCCTAAATGCCATGAGAGGCCTCCGAAAACCTCACTGTTGTGTGCACCATTGGAGGGAAGACATATGACTCTGTTAGTCTGGTTGTGCTACTATAACAAAATATCACAGACTGGATAATTTATAAAAAGTAGAAATGTGTTTCTTATGGTTCTGGAGGCTGGGACATTCCAGATCAAGGCATGGACAGGTTCAGTGTCCAGTGAGGGCTGCTTTCTGCTTCCATGATGGTATCTTGTTGCTGAGTCCTCCAAAAGGGACAAACACTGGGGACCAAATGCAGGATTTTTGTATGCTAGGCAAAAACTCTACCAACTGAGCCACATCTCCAGATGGAAAGTTTCTTCTTTATCATGTTGATAGGCTGGATTTGAAGATATTTGACGCTTCAGTCAATTACATTAAAAACATGCAACAAATTATTGTCTGGTTTAGTAAATTAGAATCTATGGTGGTATTCCAGAAATTGGCATACAAAGATTATATATTATAAATATATATTATATATATGTGCATGTATGTATGTGTGTGTATGTGTGTGTATTTATGTTTGAGATGGGGATCTCTACATTGTTCAGACTGGCTTTGACTCCTGGCCTCAAGGGATCTTCCTGCTTCAGTTTCCCAAGTAGCTAGGACTCCAGCTGAGTTACTGCATCCTAGTTTAAGATAATTATTTAAATTGAAAACAGTAGATTACAGAATAGTATGCACTCTTGGCCTCCATTTTAAAGAATACAGTATCTCGGGCTGGAGAGATGGCTCAGGAGTTAAGAACACTGGCTGTTCTTGCAGAAGACCCAGGTTCGAATCCCAGCACCCACATGGCAGCTAACAACTGTCCATAACTCCAGTTTCAGGGCATCCAACAGCCTCTTATGTCCTCCATGAGTATTGCACGACATGGGTGCACTTACCTACATGCAGGTATAACACTCATACACATAAAATAAAAATAAAATATTTTTTAAAAAAGAATATAGTATCTTTTTTATTAGAAGCTTGCAAGTCAACAGATTAGAATTCCAGCAGTGGCTACCTCGGTTGTTGGAATTTACTGTGGTTTCATTCTTTTTTGAGACAGGGTCTCCCTCGTAGCCCTAGCTGGCCTGGAACTATGTAGACCAGGCTGGCCTTGAACTCACAGAGCTGCCTGCCTCTGCCTCCCCAGTGCTGGGATTAAAGGCATGTGCCACCACGCTCGATCCGGTTTCATTCTTTTTAAATTCTTGTTATTGGTGATTTTAAATGACAACAATAATCAGGGACTACCTTGGGTAATTTTTTGTTTTCTTTTGAGACAGGTTCTCAAGTGACCAAGGCTGGCCTCAAACTTGTTAAGTAGCTGAGGATGACGAATTTCTGATTTTCCTGCCTCCACCTCCCCTGTGCTGGGATTATGATGTGCACCACCATGTCTAGTTTATGGGGTGCTGAGGACTGAACTCACTTCATGGATGCTAGGTAAGCACTCTACCAACTGAGCCACATCCCCAACCCCAATAACTTTTTTTAAATAAAGAGAATCCAGGAAGGTGTCTGGAGCTGGACAGTGTGCGGCTGGACCACCTGTCAGGGGTATGTGGGGGCGCACCAAGGTGATGCGGTCGCCGAGACGGACCAGATGAGGAGCCAGAGAGGCAGCCAAGCCCCGCCTGGGAAGGGGCAAGGGGAATGAAAAGTGGGCGGAGCTAAGGGCTCCTGCCGGCCACGTGGCTGGCGGGAGCCAATGGCCGTGTCCGAGCCCACCTTGAGGAGAGGCTGGGTGCCGGGCTGGCGTCACCAGGACAACGGGCGTCGCCGGCGCCTTGTGACTCCGGGCTGTGGGCGCGCTTGCGGCTTTTCGGCCATGGTGAGTCTGGGGACCGTGCCCAGCGGGCAGCGCGGATCCTGGGCGCCCCGGGGCCGGTGCAGCGGGGCGCTGGGGTCGGAAGTGGGCCGCGACCTGCGGAGCAGGCAGGGCAGGGCAGGACAGGGCAGGGCCCTGCAGGGCAGGGCTGATTAGGGTTGGTCCCCAGCGCCTGCTGGGGGCCCCGTGTCCCCGTGCTCTCTGCTGCTCGGTGTCTCCATCACACCCGGGACCTGCACTCATTTGCCCACCCGGACAGCGTGACGCTCTTTGGCCGGAGCGAGCCGGAGAAGCCACCAGCGAGGGTGTGGTTACAGAGATCCGTAGACACGCTCTTTTGCAGTCTTGCTTTTATGCAATGATGTCAGTGCCATAACATGCATTTGTCTCAAGTTCAGCATCCGGATGGAGCTTCCAGCATGTAGGAATTTAAATGGGAGGTTTAGGACAGACACCTTTTGGAAAAAAATGGGGACATTGAGCTGGAAGTTTTTTCTTTCTTTCTGAGCACTGCACCCTCACTGAGAGATTTAATGAACCTATGGTTAGTATGTTATAAACGCTGTAAATAAGTGGTTAGCTTTGCTCAATAAACTTGGGAGGCAGTGGACATACCACCTGGCCTCCGTTAACTTCGATTTTTCACTTGGCCATGGTGTTGGTTGGAATAGGCAAGGTTCAGGGGATTGTGAGAAGGTGTGATTTTTTTAGAGGCCACCACCTGAGTAAAAGAAGACAGGAGCTGGACTGCTTGCTTGGCCACACATCCTGGGAATATTTGAAGATTAGCTTAATAGGGATGTGCCTAGTTTTAAAGAAATACATATATAGGTCTACTGAGATGGCCCAATGAGTAAAGACATTGGGTACCATTCCTGAGGACCTGAGTTCCATCTCCAGAACCTACGTTTTCGAAGGAGAGAAGCGACTCCCTCAAGTTGTCCTCTGACCTTCCCATGTGGCACACTCTTTCCTACCCTGCCACCCCTGCCAAATACAAATGAATAAATAAAATGTAAAACAATTGTATATATTATGTATTTACCTCAAGTCAATGGAGACTGGGGTGTGTTTGTGTGTGTGTGTGTGTGTGTGTGTGTGTGTGTGTATGTGTATGTGTGTGTGAAGAAGGCCAGAGATTTCAGATGTCTTGCTCAATCTCTGTGCACTGTCTTTGGGGTTTTGAGGTGGGGGGTGTTGAGACAGGGTCCCTTTGTAGCCCCAACTGGCCTGGAACTTGCTGTGTAGACCAGGCTAGCCTCAATCTCACAGAGATCTGTCTGCCTCTGCCTCTCGAATGCAGGGATTAATGCTGACCTGACTGTGTCCACTATATCGTCTTTAAATATATTTTTTTATTTTAATTTTATGTGTATGAATGTATTGCCTGCGTGTATGTAAGTGCACTATGTTGTGCAATGCCCCCAGAGGTCAGAAGTGGTATCGAATTCCCCTGGAACTGGAGTTATAGATGATTGTTAGCCACAATGTGGCTGCTGGGAACCAAACCTAGGTCCTCTGTAAGAGCTCTTAACTGCAAGATCTCTTAACCGCTGAGCCATTTCATCCAGCCCTGCCTCTATCTTTTGACAGAGTCTCTCAGTGCACCTGGAGCTCACTGACCTGGCGAGGCTAACTTGCCAATGAGCGCCAAGGATCTGCCTGTCTTCCCCACCCCACATCCCCCAGTACTCAAGTTACAGGCAGTAGCCATTACACAGGCTTATATGTAGGTGCCGGGAGTCTAAACACAGGTCTTCATGCTTGCATGGCAGGCACTTTATGAACTGAGCCATCTCCTCAGACCACCGAGATTTGATTCTTACTGCAGGGGTCAGTAGAAGGGATGAACCTACTACACAGAGACTTCACAGTTGCAGCTGACCTGGGGAGAAAACCCACTATTTGGAACTCTGGTCAATCCTGGATTGTCACCTTTCCTCATTCTCTCCCTTTTCTTTTTATTTTTTCTTTGGTTGAGTCAGGGTCTCTGTAGCCCAGGCTGGCCTCCAACTTGCAGAGATCCTCCTGGTTCAGCCTGCTGAATTCTGGGGTTCTAGGCATGAGCCACCATGCCCAGCTCTTTTTCTCTTCATAAGTGATTGGAGGGCTGGTGATAAGAGATGGATAGTCTGTATTTTATATAGACTCTAGCAAAACAACTCCTAAGTGTACCCTGCTGACCAAGAAAACCCACGAACAACAGTAAAGCATCTTTATTGACACATAATAAATTTTTTAGTTCTGAGGGTGCTTGCTTGTTTGAGACAGGCTCTCCCCATGTAGTACACGCTGGCTTCAGCCTCAAGATCCTCCTGCCTCAACATCCCAAGTGTTGTCATCATGGCTGTGCACCACCCCGCCCAGATCATCTGCTACCATTTATTGTGTACATTCCGTGTGTGAGACGTTTTTCTGAGTGTCTTTGGTATCTCAAACTGTCAACTACTCTGTGAGGAAGAAACCATTTTTCCATTTTATTTATTTTAAATTTTATTTTATGTGTATGAGTGTTTTGCATGTATGCAAGTGCACTGCATGTGTGCAGTGCTCACAGAGGCCAGAGGATATGTCAGATTCCCCTGGAACTGGAGTGACAGATTATTGTTAGCTACAGTGTGGGTGCTGGAGAACCTGGGTCCCCTGCAAGAGCAGCCAGTGCTCCAGCTGAGCCATCTCTCCAGTCCCTGTTTCTCCATTTTAGAGATAAGTAAACTGAAGTATAGGAGGTTGAAGAAACTGCCCTGGTCACCCAGCTTGTGGTTGTGTTGGGTTTCAGAAGCAGAATCTCCTTATATGTGATCACTGGATTTTGCTGTAGAGGGTGTTGTTTTCATGTTCTCTGGTATATAAAAGGAAGTTCTTTTTTTCTTATTTGGACTTGTTTGGACGGTTTTGAGCAATTACGAATGGTTTGTGCCTTGTTCCTGGCATTGAGTTAGATGCTGTGGACAGAGCGGGCAGGCCTTGCTTTCTCTCCCCTTCCTTTGCTTTCTTCTCTTTGGCAAAGCTGAATGAAAGGAATTAGGAAGCATGGGTGAGAGGATCTGTGTCCACACTCCTGCCTGGGCAGCACTTGGGAGTGTCTCCTGTTGCTTCACGTTCAGGAGTTGCCATCTGCTTTTTGTGAATCACAAAACCAGTGTTTAACAGAAGCCGGGTGGACATGTGGGACAACGCAGCACTGTTAAAAACTTTGTTTCTTTGCAGGTGTGGTGTTGCACGCCTGTGAGATTGGGCCAGCCTGGTCTACATATCAAGCTCTAGGCCAGCTGGGGCTACAGAGAGATTCTGTCTCAAAAAATAAGTTGTTTTTCTCTCCTTTCCCCGCCTCCTCCTCTTTTCTTCTCCCCTTCTCTCCCTCCCCCCTTCCTCATCCTCCTCATTTCTTCTTCCTCCTTCTTCTCATCTTCTTCATCTCCTTTTATTATTCCTCCTGATATTCTTTAATTGTTGTTACCAGCAGGCATTAAATAACTATTTAAATTTTAATTCATTTGGAACAAAATAGATGCTGGAGTACCTATTCCATGTTGTCACCAAATTTTATTATTGTTTAATACTTCAGCTTATAAGATAAATTTATTTTTGAAATTGTACATTGTATCAATGTTTCAGAAATTCATCCTCTGGTTTTCTCCATGTTTCGCACCCCTCTTTCTGTATTTGCCATCATCATGTCTTGTTAGAGGCTTGGGAAGCAGCATGGGTTGGGGGAAAACTTCAAATTCAAATAGTTGATGGTAGTTTTTTCACTTGATATTAAAGTTCCTTTTTTCTTTTTTTGAAAACATTTTTGATTTATTTTTATATTTTTATGTGTATGAGTGTTTTGTCTATATGTATGTAAGTTAACTCATGTTTCACAATGCCCATGGAGGCCAAAAAATGTTCTTGTATTCTCTGGAACTGGAGTTATGAACTGTTGTTAGATCTATGTGTGTGCCGGGACCTGAACTCAGGTCCTCTGCAAGAGCAGCCAATACGGAGCCATCTATCTCTCCAGCACCCCTTTTTTATTCTTTTTGACTTTGGTGGGGAGGGTCGTAAGTCGACCTTGAGTATTATTTCTCAGGTGCCATCTACCTTGTTTTTTGAGACAAGGTCTTTCACTGAACCTGAAACTCACTGATTAGGCCACATTGGCTGGCCAGTGAGCTCCAGAGATTCATCTGTGTCTACTGCCTCATTGCTGGGATTAAAGCCACAGCGCCCCCTTTTTTTTTTTTTTTTTTTTTTTAATGTGAGTTCTGAGGCTCAGACCCAGGTCCTCCTGCTTGTATGGCAAGCACTTTCCTGACTGAGCCATCCCCTCTGGCCTTGTTTCAGTTTTTTTGCTTTTTAAAAATTTTTGACTGTTTTAAAAAAATATTTTATTTAATGCTGGGTGTGGTGGTGCACGCTTTTAATCCCAGCACTTGGGAGGCAGAGGCAGGTGGATTTTTGTGAGTTCAAGGCCAGCCTGGTCTACATAGTGAGTTCCAGGACAGCTGGGGCTACAAGGAGACACTGTCTCAAAAAAGACAAAAAAAAAATTTATTTTTTTATTTTATGTGTATGAGTGTATTGCCTGCATGCACGTGAGTGCACCGGTGTCATGCAATGCTACAGAGGTCAGAAGAGGGCTTCAGATTCCCCTGGAACTAGAGTTGAAGATGGTTCGTAACCGCCATGTGGGTGCTGGGAATCAAACCTGGGTCCTCTGCAAGAGCAGTCAGTGTTCTTAACCGCTGAGCCATCTCTCCAGCCCCCAATTTTTGACTTTTTGAGACAGGTCTTGTTATGTACCCCTGCTGGCCTAGAACTCACTGTATAGACCAGGCTGGCTTGGAACTCATGGCTATTCTCCTGCCTTTGCCTCCAGAGTACTGGGATTACAGGTGTGAGAGTCTCTATATTCCTAACACACAGGCTGAGGCACAAGGATCTCAAGTTCAAAGCCAGCTGGGGCAGTTTAATGAGATCTTGTCTCAAAAGGGGATGGATGGGGAGCTCAGTGGTAG